AAAGAAAATTGACAGTACTAGTTTTTCTTCAAAAGTGTCTTCTTACAGACGTAAGAAGAACGTTGGCTAGGATAAAACAACACATTTTCCGATAAATTGTTGTTTGTCTGCTTCACGTCTGTAAGAAGACACTTTTGAAGAAATTACGAGTAACTGTATCTGACTTATACGGCGTTAAGTGTAAAGAACAGATAAATTAATATGCGCAAGTTGATATCTCCAAAATTACTGAATGGAATGGCTTTAAACTTCACACACTAATATAAGAGGTTGCTTTCCAAAGCCCATTAATTGTGGACTATATGCACGTTTTTGAACTTAGAAAATTCTACATTATCGGAAACAGTCGAGCGCACTGCTTTCGTTAATAGATAAGTAACGAGATATAATCTTTTTGAAGTCACTGGTACTGTAAATAAGCTACAGTCCTCGTAAGTTAAGGCTAATCATCTTGTAATGAATTTTCTTGCATTTTAATTCTCTTGAGAATTAAGTTAAGCATGCGACAAATTCAACGTTTAATGCCGCCAAAAGTTCCATTCGAGAAAGTAAAATATCGCTACTTTATCTAAGAGCGACACAAGAGTTAGAAAACAAATATTGCATGCCAATAGATGACCTAAAACTGGCCCAAGTAGGACACAGTATATCATTAAAAAGTGTCTTCTTACAGAACGATATTTGAATAGCTCTGCTGGGGTTATTGTCGTATAAATATAATTAGCGGGGTCATAAAGGAATGCCCCGATCCATCTGCCGACTCAAGATGAAAGTGGATTTGTCTATAATGGGTACATTTTCGAAAAATGTGATATTTATATGATAAATAACTAATATTTTGTTCTAGAACATCTTATTATCAACATCCACATGCAATATATAATTCTTTCATGGTTTGTTATCACATTTGATATAATATAATACTATCAACATAAATTTTTATTGTCCCTTTTTATATGTAATTGAAAGTATATTGGCTATATGTATGCTCATGCTATTTTATGCCAAATAAAGATTATGTTATGTTATGTTATGTTATGTATTGCATGCGTTCTTTCATAGACCAATTCACTTTAAATGTCCGTTTTGTTTGCAATTTAAATATAAAAACGATATATTAAAGTATAATATGCAATTATGCAATATGTTATGTGCATCTTTTAAATATAATGTTTTGTGTGCTTTTGCACTAGTGTTCATCTACTTGCACTTCACCTTTTTTATTTGACGAAGCTATCTAGCTAGCTTTCGGAACATCGGCGGTTCTACTCAGGTTCCCGCTCGTACACGGAGGGGCACCAGAGGTCTTCCTCCACCAGTAAAGCTGGAATGTCGCTGTATGACCATAATGTGTTTGTGTGACGTTTTTAAGTCTAAAAACTGATTAGGACTTTGCATGTCCTAATCAGAAGTATTAAATTCTTATTTGTTCTTTTGTATAAAAACCTAATTAGAAGTTAAAAAGTTTAAATCACGTCTTTATTTCATATTAAGATTTTTGGAGCGCGCTCCTATTTAAAATTAAATATTTCTCAATTCGTAATATAGTTTTAGTATCTCCTAATTAGGCCTTTACAAATGTATTTACACACGTTGCCAGGCAACTTACCGCGTACATTGTTGAGCGGGGTTATGATTGTCGTCTGTGTTTGATTTTGGCGAGGATGTGCACGTGAATAGTATGATACATGTATAACATTATGTACTATAGGTGTGTAAAATAATCATTCGAGGATTTGCTTTTCGGCTGTTCAGACGAGTTTTATCTTAACTTTTCATTTAAATTCAAGAATGAACTCGGACAGTTTATATGAGATAAAATCGTATTTTGATGCCAAGTTTGCAGATTTTAAAAAAGAGATATGCAAAGGAAGTGTTGCCAAAACTCACAAATCCACTGTTTTGAAAAACAAAGGGAATCAGATTCAGTTGGATCATAACTGTGAGCTGTTGGATTTCATTGTTCAAATTAGCGGACTGATTGAGTCAGGGGAACACAGTGAGGCGCTCGAGTTGTGTGAGACTGCTAAGGAAAAGATTGAACGTCGCAATAAACTGATAAAACTGGCAGACAAGTCACCTAGTGGTTGGTTGACTGTACACGATTATGAGCAAGACGATTTAGCCAGCGATGATGAGGATTCAAAGAGAATTAAAAAGGCTGAGAAAGCAGTTGCGTCCATTATCAAACAGCGCAATGAAGCAAAGAAAGCGAACAGAAGGTTCATAAATGGTAAGTTTAGTTTAGTCAGTTTAGTATACAAAACAATTAAACACGTGATAGAGTGTAAAGCTATGGGTGTCCTGATTGTACTAAGGTGGCAGTCTGCTGCTTACTGGCCTTTATTATTTGAAGATAACAGTTTTACAGGGAAAAACTATGTTAAGGATGTCTTAGAATTTTGTGACAGAAAAATATATGTTCATGGTAAAAACAAAAGATCTCTTTTTGGTTCTAGAAAGTTTAAGGGATTTGTTTTGGCAGTTAAACTTGATTCCAGATCATTAAAATAATTATCACTAAGTATTACCGGAAGGACTATTTAGTTTCATGGGTAGACGGTCGGAAGGACCAAAGTCTGGCCGGAAGGGCCTAAGTCTGGCCGGAAGGGCCTAAGTCTGGCCGGAAGGGCCTAAGTATGGCCGGAAGGGCCCAAGTATGACCGCAAGGGTCAGGACATATGCTTATGTGCAAAAAAAAAAAACAAAAAAAAAAAAAAAAAAAAAAAAAACCTATTTCTGCAGAAATTATTGGAGATATGTTTTTATTACATGACAAAGAAAATTGTTCTTTATATCATTTAAGATCAGTTGCAATTGTAATCATAGGGTTTTCAGGATTTTTGAGGATCGAAAAACTGTTAAATTTAAGATGTACTGATGTTACATTCAATGATGATTACTAAAGTTTGTACATAAGGTCTAGTAAAACTGATCAGTTAAGTCGCGGATCTTCAGTTGTTATTTCAAAATCAACTGGTGTTAAATGTCCATATACAACATTAAAACTTTATTTTTCAAATGCTGATTTATCAAACGATAATGAAGAGCATGTTTTTCGGTCTTTATCTTCATGTAAGAAAACTAACTCTTTTAGATTAAAGAAAGGAGGTTGCTTATCTTATACTCGAGTTAGGGAACTGTTACGTGAGATGCTTGTCGAAGTAGGCTTAAACCCTAATGATTATGGGACTCGCATTTTAAAACGCGGTGGCTCTACCGCCAGCGCTGTTAATAATGTATGTGATAGACTTTTTAAAAAGCACGGGGATGGAAAAGTGAGCATGCGAAGGACGGTTATGAGTCTGAGGATATTAATTCGATTCTCAGCGTTTCTAAAAATCTAGGATTGTAATTCAGTTTCGTTTCAGTTAATAGCGTTATTATTCGACGCTGGAACAATCGCTCTTAGCCAATTGCATATAAATTGTTTATTTGTTTTGTTGTTTGTGTAGTACATGTAAGTTGAAGGGCTTAAGCTTGTAAATGATTTATGCTCGGTTGAAAGAATTGAATTAGAGCATAAATGTATTTACACACGTTGCCAGGCAACTTACCGCGTACATGGTTGAGCGGGGTTATGATTGTCGTCTGTGTTTGATTTTGGCGGGGATGTGCACGTGAAAAGTATGATACATGTATAATATTATGTACTATAGGTGTGTAAAATAATCATTCGAGGATTTGCTTTTCGGCTGTTCAGACGAGTTTTATCTTAACTTTACATTATTTAGAAAACTGCGGTAGTTTATGTAGATTATAATGTCGTAAGATACACGGTTTTTTCAAACATTGTGTATAAATATAGTATTTAAAAATCAATGCATATAAACAATCTTGTTTTTCTAGTTTCAGGTTCTGATGTATGATATGCCAGGAATGCTTGTTTAAAAAAAAATAGATGTTTCGGGGGACGAGAAGACGTCCATGCTGGTCTTGAGCCACAGGATCTTTCCCACCTCCCCCTCCTAAAAATAAGTAAAAGGAGTTAGGTTTGGTTGGCCTGCTCGCAGCATCCCGATTTAAGAGTTCATAAATATATTATATGATTGTATTTTTGTATGTGTATACTTTATTGTAAATTCAAACATTGAATAAAGGAGTGATTATTATTTAAATTTAATAGGCATTTTTCTTTTCTCGTTTTTTTGTTTTTGTAGAACAATTAAAGTAACAGGGTCATTTTATCAAATTACTAATTATCTTTAATCATGTGGCCGAAAACATGTGTCTAACAGTCAAGTTTTCTTTGTGAATTAGATTTTTCAATTAAAGCTGTTATGTTATTTGTTGTATGGGTTTCCATTTTTGTTAGTTAACGACCTATATGCCTGTCATGAATAACATCTAATGAGTAAATATGTTTGTTGTTTTGTTTTTTCGTTGAATGATACGAAATCAGTTTAAGTTTAACTTGTCATTTGTTAATCTTTTGTGTATAATGTCATAGTGGTTTTGATACGAATAAGTTATGTTTCTTTCTGTGTATAAACTCGTCAAATAAACGGCTGGAACAATCGCTCTTAGCCAATTGCATATAAATTGTTTATTTGTTTTGTTGTAGTGTAGTACATGTAAGTTGAAGGGCTTAAGCTTGTAAATGATTTATGCTCGGTTGAAAGAATTGAATTAGAGCATAACTCCTTATTAAATTAAGCTACTCACCCACACAAAACTGGTTTATTTATTTACAGTTATTAAATATGCATAGAGGTAAATTTTTCGGTTTTTACGAGACAACTGTGACATAACGGTTGTTATTTATCACTTGACTCAGATATAAACTATAATTTTATCACACCTGTGAACATGTTGCGAGTAGGGCAGCTTAATGCCGGTAAAACTTACAATATAAATGTTTTAAACCGTATTACCGATGTATGTTCTTCTTTTTTGTTTCTTTTTATATACATAATTTTCTATGACATATTGTACAGCAATCTATTGCAGGATAAAAAAAAATACCAAGCGCATGTAACTGTTCTACCAGCATCCAACTGATCTACTTGGAGTTGCAACCAGATAACGGGTGTGTGTATCATCCAAGAATAAAACGTTGCAACGATTTAAAATTACAGCATCATAAACATAGCAAAAAATTACTTTTATGTTTTTTTCTTCGGACAATACATGTATTTATCATCTAGTTCCATATAAATGCACGAGCCTGTGGTGTGAAATTTTATTATTTGATGACATTTTATTTAAAAAAACGCCGGGATGTGGGATAGTATAGCTTTTAGAGTTGTAATATGTTTAATTTCTCCTTATTATGAGTATAAATTCCTAATTAGTTGTAACTATATTACGTAACAAAGTTCTAATAAGTTTTTTACCTCTCCTATTTAGGGGTATTTAGAGGCCCGTCTGACTCGGAGGTCACTATAATGCTATGATACTGCATTTTTATAGATCATATTTGTAAAAGTTGGAACTCATTTTATTTTACCCACAAAAGATTTGTACAATGTACTAAAAATTGTTGGCAGACAACTTATATTAGGCGCGTGCGTTTTTTGTGTAAAATTGTTATCGGTTAACCTTTAGTGATCCGACAAAAATATTATGATGATGAAGTTGAAGCTTAATGAGGGTCCATCCGCCCTTTCGGGCACAAAATGCAGCTTTCGCTGTCGAGTACGGACCCCGAAAATGTCACCAGTCATGTCCTTAAAGAGTTAATTTTGAAGCACAAAGTGGTGATAATTTACCTCCATGCAATTTCCACGGAGTATTAGCCAAAGGTATGAATTTTGAGCCAAAAGTAGGTCACTGTACGGCGGTCAATGAGAACCTAAAGTGTACAGTAACCTGTGACAATAGGAAAGGTTAGCCGCTGAAAAGGGTCTGTTTGTGCCAGGAAAAGGCCTGCCGTTCAAGCCGTCTAACCGTGCTAGGGGCTCACGCACCCTAGCACACCGTCCTCGTCGACCCAAGCGCCTACTTTGTAGAGCCACTCCCCTCGGCATTAGTCAGGACACCGACAGCTGGTCCGCAGTTGTTGACGAAGTAGCGGTTCCGTATTTAACGCCCACGGAGGCTTCAGTTTAAGTTAACTACCAGCCAAGCTTTAAATCTTCTGCCGATGCCCTGTGCCTTCTCAGACAAAAATAATAGGGGAAGTGAGAAGGACAAAAATATTATCGTACTTTTTAAAAATATTATCGTACTTTTTAAACTTTTATAGGCTTGCTGACATATAAATCAAGAAAGAACATACTCATGTAAGGTAAAATATAACGTAGTGGTACCCGCTCAGGCGGTCACTGTACCTTTTTTCCGGACCGCTGACGTCGTCGTGAATTTTATATTATTTTCAGGCCCGCTGACGCTTATATATATTAAGCAGGAACACATTTTTTTTATCAAATGACGTAATAGACAGGTACTGACGAACCAAATGAAATAGTATGAAAATTTCCATCTCCAGTTACCGGTATCTCTCTTCTAACAATTTATATAACTATTTCACATCATGTCAAGCTGCGAAGATCGGAATTTTTGAGGAAAAAAAAACAACAAAAAAAGAAAAAAAAAAAAAGAAAAAACAACTTCATACAGGTAATTTAAACCTAGTGATAACAATATATTACGTGCTTACTATGGTAAACTGAATTTAAAAGGCTTAAATGATAGATGTACGTACGTCTCTCACGCGGCGGATAGTTTCTCACGCGGCGGATAGTTTCTCAATACCTCCTCGCCTAAAACGCTATTCTAATTTACACTAACCTTTTCTCATTTTATCATTATTTAACAACGCGGAAGGTTGAAAGGTTAATGCGCGGGAAATTGCATTCTATGGAAATTTTTACATTGGCTTAAATCCAGAAGTGAAAATAAAGATGGACTGTGAAAAAGGTGAGTGCTGCAAGTTTGTAAATATTCATTTTTCTTGGTGAATGCTTTAACATGAGGCGTTGCATGTGGAATTTACAGGTGCATGGAAAAGAGTTAGCATCTTTTTTTTCTTTCGTGTTTTTTCCTAGAGATTTTTTTCTATTTCTTTTTATTTGTCAAGCAATTTGCGAATTTAGTGAAGGAATATGATATGAGATGATGATATTTTAATGAATTTGCCAACTTTGTTCGAATGTAAAATTTAAATAAATATGTGTTTTGCCATTTTATTTTGTTTTTCTGTTGCCATTTATCTCGAATAAATAAAAATCCTTTTCAGAAGCTAACGTGAACAATATAATGCTATTTATTTACTGGCTGAAATGATGCGTTTTGTAAAATTGCGTGACTAAGTTTTTGTATTTGTTTACATACATGAATTATTTGCTGAAATTATTTAATAACAATTATAATATATGTTGAGTTTGTTGTGATAATTAACACCAACAGTGTATATATTTGGGATAGAAATTCTGTTTTCAAGTGGAATTTTCCACCTCGATTTAAAGACATGTTTCATATTTAACAGTACTTTCTCGGTAAAATTCCTTATCTTGTTGGAACCAAGTAATGGTGTAAACAGCTGTTTGGCAGAAGAACCCTTGGCGTGTCGATTCGAATGAAATGAGCACTGGCGCGAGAAATTGTAAATCAAACGTGTTGGTCGCGTTTCAGCGCGGCAGAATGATGGCTGTCCGTCGTGCGCACAAATGTGTGAAATAAATAAATAAATAGACTAGATAAAATAAAGAAAAAAGAAGAAGAGCGAAACCAATAAAAAAACAGCATTTTATAAGTATTAAAAATAAAGTTGTCAGTCGTTCATAAATTATGTAAAAAATAGTTTGTATAATGAAAATATGTTGATACCGTCCCGTAAACTTGAACTATCATTGCTTGGGGTCTGTTTTATTTCATCCATGGCAATAAAAAACATAATGAACAACTGTTTATATACGGCCATATAACCTGTCAGGGATATTTGTAACGGCTTTATTATGTCAACTAAAATAATTTTATTGGCATAAAACAAATAACAAGTTTATAGCCATACGAAATATAACCAGTTCAGTGATAATAGAAAGACTTGCATGTTTATATCATTTACAGAAGAGTACTGTAAAGACAAATACATAGTATTTTTTCTAAACATTTTACGAAGTACGATAATGCAAACTTGCCTTTTTAGAGAAAAATGTGTGATTTCATCTTAAATTGACAGCAGCCGTGTATTTATAGCTACATTAAATAAATATGTAAAAAAAATGCCATCGGCCTAAAAATCAAACATTCTACAATTTTATTAACCTGTTTAACAGTATTGTTGTAAATCTCGTCAAAACTTGTTCATAAATTAGGATTTTAAACGGAAAACCCCACGGTAACACTAAAGTTCGTATACGAATTTTAACTTTATAATCAGCTCGTGTATGCGCTACGTCACAGTTTTATAGTTGCCATCCGGAGCACAGCAAATATGATATTTTCTTGTGCAAACACACTTTACTCGTTTTAGCTTCACGGTGCACAAAGCCTGGGGTTCAGTGAAAGTAATCATCTCGTAAAAAGATTAAATTTGTATGAAAACATCCGTTACAATGCGGAAATATACCGTTAAATTAGGACTGTTACTAATAGTCATGTTTGTTGATTCATGATTGATGTACGGATGATCCGAAGGCGGAGTTTCTCATGCAAACAGAAATTGTACATCCCATTTCGTCACAATGAGGTTACCCATTTTTATGCTAATAAAACTCATTTTAGTTGTCTTGACAACAAAATAAGACCTGGAGTCGATATAAAACCCAATTTAATAATGAAATATCGCTATTTAGTTTTTTATGAAATTTATTAAATGTAGCTTTAAAACCGTCACGATTATCCAATGAAAAGTGACGACACAAACATGCAGAATTATATAAAAAAAACACGTTTGAAACGTCGCTTTTCATTGGATAATCGTGAAGCTTATATAATCTATATACACGACTGCTGTCGATTTTAGTCAAAATATATTGACGTGCCAAAGTTTGATTCTGACATATTTTCGTTCTGGGACAGAATCTCGCTTTTTCTGTGTCATGACGGTCTCATCTTTCGGATCTGGGTGATTTCTTACTTTCGGGCTTTACTGCGGTAATTTGCGTGTAAATAAGGATCTGTTCATAGTCTAGATAGAAAATAGGAAAATATATATTGGATCGATTCCATGTGAAAATCCGACGTTATTACCACCCGGTGGAAAATTTTGACACCGAGAACGGACATACCCATAATTTTCGTACTCGGATGTTGCATACCTTGTCTATAACAATGTAATAATCAAAGCACAGAAGGCGCTGAATTTGTTAGGGTCTCAGAATTTCAGAAAGGTGAAGGTTATGAGATTATAAACCAATTTGTTTTTGTATAGTGCCACCAATGCTTTTTCAAATGTTATTACTGTTGTAAATTGGCTATAAGGCTAATTGCAACACTGATATTCAATTCAATGTTTATTTGGCTTTAACAATTTAAAAAAAAAAACAAAAAAAAAAAAAAAAAAAAAAAAAAACTTGAGTTGCCTTACCTGGGATTTGAACACCAGACCTCTTGGTTCGAAAAACGAGCGTGTAATTCCCTCGACCACGGGGAAGTTATAAGATAACAGCTTGAGAAACACATTATTATCAACACTGATGTAAATAATCATGGGAGCTTAAATATAAGCATGTTTATCTGTAAAGAATTACACAATATTAGAAATCTTCGGCCAATCGGGAACTATTTTTTCTTCCCCGAGAAGGCTTGAAAATTAATGCGGCTGTCATTTGATAATGTTTACGCAGTGATCTCCCCTTAATTTTTCGGCGTTAGTGTACTTATAAAGGGAAGTAACCGCTTCAAGGAGTTCGGACTACTTTCGGATTTTGCAAATAAGCATATCAGGGTCTGAAATTTCGCTACGGTCTGACTACCCAAACAAATAAAAACAAAATATATAAAAAATTATTATTATTTTTTTAAATATTGATATTATAGCACATGAATAACAAAATTAAACATATTTTAGGTCCAATTTAATACGGCTAGCACCTTTGTTTGCAATATAACCCCC